TGCACAAAATGCTTTCTTCTAGAGCCATTTTTAAATCTTTGCCCCTGACAGCCTGAAGAGATCCAAGCAGCAGTACTTTCATCTTTCTGCTGAGATTAGAGGAGTCCAAGCGACTGCACTGTTAGGAAATTCTTCCTGTCACCCAGCATATCTTTCTTTTTCTCTGCTCAATTTTTGCCAATTGCTCCCCATCATTTTTATCTTGTATTAATCCTAAACTATTCCCCTTTTATTGTGAATATTCTTCAGATACATCCGGGCAAAATTCACCCTTCTGTCCTCTTCCTCCACTCCTCATCCTGTGGTCATGCTGTGGATATTTTATTAGTTGACTCACATCCTTCATTCCCTCCATCTCCTTTCACTCCTTGCCCTACAGCTGCTCAGGAGAGGATCTGGAGGTAGCACAGAGAGGCTATTCCTGGTCTCTCAGGTTACTCTGTTCAGCAGATAGTCCTCAAAAGGACAAGCTAGCAGTCAGCCTTGCTACTCAAACTACCAAGTGACATAAATCAACTCCCAGGTCATGTAGATGAATAATAATGAATAATAACAAAGCGGTAGAAGGGGGACCTGCTCAAAATGAAGAGGTTGACTGAGAAGTGCCAGGTCGTCTTGCTATGACTATTTAAAACTCTCAAGCAATTTACCGGGAAGGTGGCGTTTAGGTCAGGGCTCGAACATTTCCAGGGTTTGACAGCAATGGCACAGATGCACTCACTCCTTTACCACCTTTTGATGACAGGAGGAATAAAGTGTATTGCATGCATTACCTGTCAAGAACAATTAACATTTTCATTGTGGCAGTGCCCAAAAGGAGTCAGTCCACCTCAAGGCAATATTGTGAGAAGCTTCATATACCCGCACAGCACTGACCCACAGAGTCGTCAGTATGTGTAAGCAAAGTAAACGCAGGCTAGAAAGGGAAGTGATTTGCCTAAGACTGTGAAGTAGTTAAGTGGTCCAGAAAAATCTAGCACAGTCGCATTTTGTCCTCTACCCAGCACCCTTTCTCCTAGGCCCGAATGCTTCCTAACTCCTAATCTATTGCAGAATTTTGTTTTAGCTAGGAGAAACAGTAATCACAAGCGAAGCCTGCAGGTAGCTGATAGTTTCACATTTTTCCCCCATTTAATGCAACGTTGATTCCCCTGCCCTCTCCCCTGTTTAGGAGGGATGATCTTCCTTTTTCTAAAACATGAATTAGAAGACAGCCATGAATTATTCACAGCCATCTGACAGAGCATTTCAGCATTGCTGCCTGTGTAATACTAACCTGAAACAGCAAAAATGGTTCAGATTTGTAGTTTAAGAAAAAAAAAAAAAAAGAATGTTGAGCAGGGCACTGGGAAGAGAAGTGCAGGGAGAAAAGAAGGAATGTTTTGATCATTAAAATTTTTTTTCCTACCTCTTTTTTTTTTTTTTTTGGCCAGAAATTCACAGCTATCCTCCCTGTGTAACAGGAGTGCTGGTAGTATTCGAGTATTCGGCTGAGCAGCATTTCTCCACTGGATCCTTTTAGTGGCCAGCTGCTCCAAAGCAGGAACAGTCCAGCTTGTGGAGGTAAGTGTGGAAATAGAAGTGTTCTTGGGTTGGCACTCCGGAGCTGTACAACCATCAGAGCTGATGGTAAACACCTGGATGTACGCCAGGACTGGGTTATTATAAAGGTGTGATATGAGACACTGCTGGTAGGAAGCTGAACTCTCCAAGCTTTGCATTTAGGACATTTTCTATCTCTCTGGAAATGAAAAAAGGGCTCAAAAGTAGCTTATAGCAGATTGGATTTACTGGGAGTGCGAAGAGATACCAGCAAGGAGCACATATACCCTACAAGAAAGCAGTGGCTCACCCACCCGTAGAGTGTGTAAGCGCTCACATACAGACCTGCAGCTACACTTCTACTGCTCCACTCGCTGGTGCTGCAGGCTGTCCTCTGGCCCTAAGGTCAGCTGGCATCATCTGGCCACATCCAGACTATCCAACTCTTTCAGCCCCATATCCAAACTGCCCTACTGGAAATGGTCCCTGGGTCATGTTGACCCCTAACTCATACCCAGGAATTGCTTGGGATCTGGATAGTTATCTTGGATCAAAACCATGCCAAAGGTCATCCGTGAGCCTTCAACAATACAAATAGCTGAAACTGGAATGGGTTCAAAATGAATCGCGAGGAAAAAAGGTAAATGGACAGCACTTACACACATACACACATGGATACACACAAACACTCCCAAGCCTGGTGTAATTTTTAGTTATTCTTCATAATTTTTACCAAACAGTCATTTTTAATCTGGAGGGAAGGCAGCTGTTTTTTTTTTTTTTTTGGGGGGGGGGGGGGGGGGGGGTTTTTTTTTTTTTTTTTTTTTTTTTGGCTCTGTTAGTTGTTATTATTCACAGTTTCTGGATAGCTTTTGCTGTCAAATGAAACAGAACAACCATCATCAGAATGAAGCCAAATAGGCTGCCTCTTCTCTAATCATATCACAGTGAGAATGAATAGCTTCCAGCCATGGAAGAACATCTCAGAATTGCGTACGGAACCAAGGCAGACAAAATATCACTCTTCTCTGCCCCTAAGGAAGCTGGGTTTAATCCTTCTAGTCAAGTAAAGTAAGCTAAGGCCCGTTACCAAGTTTCTGTTACCTCCCTGTTTAATTCGGATAATGTCACTTGCACTGTCACAGTAGCATTTGTAGTAGAGAGCATCAGATGCTAAAACACTGAGAAGCAATATTCACGTAGTCACATCAAAGCATTCAATTTAGCATCAAGACACCTAAATGCCTGCCAATGTTTATATATGCACTGGGTGACTAAGTGCCCTTTACAGTCACTAGCGATGTGGTGTAGTAAGTACAGTCAATAGAAGCCCAAAAGCCAATGCAGCTGACCAGCCCCCAGGGGAAGGATCAGATAAACAGGGGCATCTAGTGCCATTTAAAATGCCCCAAGGAATCCAAACAATTGTCTGAGATGGCAGATCTGGCACAGCATCTCCAGGAGATCTTTCCCTTCTGCCACCAAGCAACAGGCCCAGCAGGATATTTTAGGACACTTTAAATGGTACTGGACTCCTCCGTATGGACAACTGAATCAAGCATGCAGATTTCCGTCAATTGTAATGGGATGCGTTGTCAGTGCCTACCTGGTAACCACACATGTCCTTCAGAACAACATGCAAGCTTTTAGGTCTTCACTACAGTTTGAATTCCACTCAAATCTCAGTTTTTGGACCACCTACCATATCATTCCAGTAACATTTGAGCACTGAATAGGCTCTGAGATTTATATTACAGATTTATTGAAGTCCCTTTCATCCATGAAGTGATCTGTTCATTTATGCTTTGGGTGCTTCTGTCATGATTAAGACAAATAAATGAGTTTTTCATTTCAACCTATAAATCGTGAGAATCTCACAAGTATCCACTGAGATCAAGTGAAAATTTGTATCTATCTACTTCAGAAGAGCAACTACCCAATTGTCAAGAAAGCTCTGCCTCTTGCAATAAGAAAAGCTCACTCCTGAGGTTGATATATCCCTTGTACTATTGTCTGAAACCATAATGATGATGGAATATAATCTATATAGACTTGAATATAATCTATATAGTCTGTAATCATATAAACTGAAACAGATTGCTTAGGCAAGTAGGCCTGGGTCAATCTTAATATGGTCTGATGACCTGAATTAACTAAAATCACCTCACAACGAGCAAAGGACAACAAGATGAAAGATTAGAAAGTCCTGACGATGTAGGTAGGAAACACACGGCTTCTGCAGAATTGCAGAAACCTATATAATAAAAAGTTTTTTTTTTTTTCAATACCTCATGAACCTGCTACATCTTCTAGATAATATGGCTGTTCACTACATGAGAACTGGGCCCACGAAATCATAAAATGCCAAATCCAGTATAAGTAGGAAACATAATACATGAATCTGGTAGCTTATGAAATTAACATAGAAAGAAAAGTACATGGCAGAGATTTTCTACTGAAGATAAGAAAAACTACTTTACCATGACCACTTATTCTTTAGGAGGTTTGGGGGAAAACCCTCACAGTGAGTATAGACAAAAACACTCTCAGAGCTTGAGTTCAAATCTAATTAAATTCTTTTTTTTTTTTTAAAAAGATTGAATCTTATCAACAACTGAGATGCTTTTCTAATGATCAGAGAATCACAAAATGGCCGAGGTTGGAAGGGGTCTCTGAAAATCATCTAGTCCATCCCCTGCTCTGGGAGCATTTTCTACTTCAGCGGTAAGAAAATCTTGGCAAAGTTCCCAATCATCTCAGTAAATTCTCTGGCTATTGGGGTTTGCCCACTAATCTCATTTTAAACATCTGAGTTTCAGTGCCCACCTTGAGCTGGATTCTTACTTTAACAGAGGCCCATCTATATCACTCTGCTAATGCAAAGACTGACAAAATAACAATATACCACAACCTTCTCTTATAGGCCCTCTTAACACTACCAGAATTGTGTCTGGAGGAGAACAGGTTTATAGGTAGGAGATCAAGATAACAAAGTAGCTTTCTGATGACCTCAAAAAAAAAGAAAAACCACTTTGGGCAGGCCATATATAAATTAGTAAACAAAATAAGGCAGAGATTGTCTCCTAGCCTAAAGGGCAACTGGTAAATATAATTCTTATAGCTGTCCATACAGCTAAGTTCTCCTCCCCTAAAACAAGATGAGTACATCCAAATTGCTGCTTGGGAATGGTCCCTGTGCTATCTCTCAAACTATGCAAGAGAAGTGTCTGGCCAAGAACAAGTAGCCAGGCCAAACACAGCGCTAGAGATCAAATGGACAAAAGCACGGACTATTGTACGCCACTGCTTAGCCTTTTGCCCTGACCTAGTTTAGTTCACCAGTAGAGAGGCAGTTTCAGAGGATTCCTGGGACTGTGTTCAGACCTGGTGCTTCTCTAAGAATAAAGCACAGAAAGAGACATCCATGCCAATTTTTCAAAAGTGGAATGGTTACTTACAGATATATAGACATACGGTGAAAAACAAGGTCTCTCCCACAAACACTGCCCCTGGAAGCTTGACTGAAGTTGGCACTGGCTGCACAAGACTTCGCAAGGATGGCCGTGGAAGGGAGGAGATGACTTCCTTCATGCCCCGTGACAGAGCCATCAAGATCCTCAAGGACAGCACAGTGAGGAAAGGGGAAGGACACTTGGTAAGGTGAGTTGAGGAAGGTCAGCCGCTCAGCTCTCACTGTGAACCCACCTGGGGAACAAGCAGCAGTTCAGAAACAGGGATTGACCTCTTCAACTAACAGGTACAAGGACTCTAGAGAACAAGGAGTTAGCTTCACTTCACCCTCCCTTTGGAGAAATGTCTGCTGAATCAGAACAAGGGGGGTTCAGGGTTTCAAAAGGGGGGGGGGGGCCGGGAGCGAGAACTAGCTATAGGAACTGCCAAATCTAAGGTCCCATCTGTCCAGCACCTTGTTGTCACAGGACTTGTGGTTACAGTCTCCTCTGATCTACCATCTATTCCTGGCTTTACCTTCAACTCCTGAATGACTCCAAACATTTCTTCATAAACCTCTTTGCCAAAATTTACGATCCCCAAAACAGTGATCCTCACAGTTCCTTCTTACTTCGTTTATAAGATAAATTCTTTGGAGGTAAGGTCTATATATCTATGTGTTAAATATACATGTGCGCACATATACAGCACCTGGCACAATAAAGCCTTGGCTGAAAAGTTTGTCTGAAGACGTCTTCACTACTGTAACACGGACAATAATGGAAAGGAGAAATGTTCATCAGGATTACAGCTCAGAAAGTTTAAAAATACATTAATATTTCCAGAAATGTCAGAAAACCACTGCCCAAAAACAATTCCAAGTCAGCTTTGGCGTGAGTGGCATGAGCCACATTTGATTAGTGTTTGACAATCATATTGTCAGTTGTAGCCTCTCGGTTGTTGTAGGACAGTATACATTTATATATAAATATATTTAACAAGTAATTGCAGTTGGAACAGTCTTCAAAGAGCCTTTGGGTACCCCATCAAAGCTCAAAAGGATCCTTAGTTTACATATGTTATCTCAGGCAAATTTACCTAGGGTTTAGGCTGGCCCGAGGTAGGAGCTTGGTGGAGTTCTGCGAGGATGTGTCATAGCTATTAAAGAAATCATCACTCTTGAAACGTTACCTCCCAAAATGAAGGAGCAATAACAAGTCAGTGTATTAAAGCCCATTCGTAAATCTCACTGAGGCTTTTGAAGCGCTATCCCAAGCCCAGAGAACTGAGAAAAATGAAATCAGTGCAGCCTCAAAAATGAGTGATATGTGACTTCCGCTAAACGATGAAGCTATTTCAGAGGGAGGTTGTCTCGAGAGAACTGCCAACCTGAATCTCAGCCCATGCGGAGCACAGTAGCTAAAGGGTAGCTAAAGTTCAGCACCCCAGCAATATCAGCAAAATGGGTACAATGAAGAGAGCGAGTACTGTTAAGGAATGGTTGTTACACATATCTCTGTTATCCCAGCTCAGGGATTTTCTCAATTAATCTGAGCTGCACAGCATGCATGTTATAACTGTCAGGTATACACATCATCATCTTATATTCCACCTCCCTGGAAATGGGGCAGGGCTATTATCCTTGTGTTGCAATTAGGGTAGTGAAACAGAGCAAGTGGTGCTATTTTAAAAGTTATTTAGTGCACCGAAACCTATGGGAAGCAGTTATACAACTACCTCATAACCTAGCTTTTGATAACTCACCTATAGCAAACATAATAGTGAGAGTACAGAAGCAAAACTGGAGTTAATACCCTTCATCATTGCAGAAGTCTTTCTCCAGGATACAGCTGAAATATCTATCAGCAATTCTCTGTGGAAGCCATGAACTTATTGCATGCGACTATGAAAAGGATAGAAACCAGGGACTTTGTAAACCCTTTTAAATAGGTGTAAATCCAACTCACCTTGCCCTTGGTAACAGCCAGAACAGGTCTGGATTGCTGTGCAAGTACTCACATCAAAGTTCCTGAAAGTTGTGTTAGATATCAACAACTGGTATCTTTTGGGAGTTTTTAGCCCTGCTGACATACAGGTCCTACCCTGCAATGCAGAAGTGAAGAGTGTCATGAAGTATATCAGCATTTGAGACACAAAGCACAATGAGTCCAGGATCCAGCAGCTGGGACACAACAGTGTGATTCCACTCAAGACCATGGTTCTGGGACAACTTGCACTATTTGAAGTACAGATTGCCTTACTACTTCTGATGAGCAGCATCTGTTTCATTTACCATTTGCAATATGTTATAATATTATATTCTTTATAAAGGGTAGTGACTGCCTTGTTTGCTGTGTCCTCACTGTTGCATGCTAGGTCAGACTGAACTTTTAAAGGGAGAGGAAACTGCAAATTCCCTGAGATAACTGCACCTGTTCATCTCAGGAGACTTCCAGGATCAGAGGATGACAGAGAAGTAGAATGGAGACCTGACCAGCCTGCAGCAGGAGAGATAGGCAGACAGAAGAGAGAAGGGACAGGACAGACATGCAGCTGGGACTCAGCAGGGACAAAAAGACAGAGAGACACATCTTGGGATCCAGAAGCATTGTGTAGCTTGGTGCAATCAAAAAGCTGCTGGACTGAGACTAAACCTGGAGGAAAGGACTAAGGTGTAAGGCACGGTGAACAGACTTATTTACAGTGCCTTTCACTTTGCTTTGTCTTGTCTAGCAGATCTGAGTTTTATGTATTTGAAAATGCTAATTATTCTAATTTACATTCTAAGAAAGACCTGATTGTTGAGATTTAAAGTTCTTCTGTGTGGTTGGGGGAAGCACTTGAGCCAGACTCTCTTCAAAGCTCTGGTTGACTTCGGGGTCCAATCAGAATAACAAAAAGCTAAGTACATCATATGGAGATAGGAGAAAACATAACGTGTGAAAAAGAAGAGCAAAACCCACAAGTTTTTGGAAATATATGGGAATTCTAGACCGTGACACAGGGGCTGTATACCCTGTAAGGATCGCAAAAGGATGGACACAGAGATAATGGGTAGCCTAGAGGAGAAAAAACTGGCAGGAACTTATCTCATGATGCTGTTTCTGAAACCAATAAACACTTTTGCAGCCCAAATCTCTAAAGTCATAGCAGAGAACCAAGAAATCCCACCTCTGTGAAGACATCCTCTTTAATTTAAAATGTAGACTGAAATGGACTTTCATAAATAGTATAACACTTTAAAGGGCCAGTGCCATCTTTAATCTCATTAAGAGTCAGCAGCTCCATTACCTCTACTGTCCTCAGGCCAAGACACCTGAGGTGATGAACCTTGGGTCAGCTTCCTCCAAGTGACTGCTGAGCAGAAACCCCAGCCTCTCGGTAACAAATCATTAAAGACACCACTGTTTTCCCTACTTACATTTGCTTTTTTTCCCCCCCCCCCCCCCCCATTACCATTTCTATCAGGAAAATGACTTAAGGAAGCATTTTCTTTGGCTTTTATGGGCACTGGAGCTCGCCATGACACTGATGTCTTAATTGATCAAAGCCCCATTTTTTCAATGCCCTGATATTTCCAGATAACAATCCTGTTTTAAAGCAACTCTTTCAAAAACTGGAAGGGCTAGCAGAGTGGAATATCCAATGTTCCTGTTAAATTAATGTCATAAAGTTTTAATTGATATTAAAGAGGCATCATTATTAAAGGCAGAATTACATAAATTAAGATGTAAATTATGACAAGGAGGCTCTTATCATGAGATAATCAAAGATAATCACCCCCCTGGGGTGCTGCAAGAAACAAGACACAGCTGAGCGCCTCTAAATCTCTTAACAAGTACAACATCAGAGTTCTTCCATGGATCCTGCAAAGCAAAAACAAAGACACCCATCCTTTCCTGTCTGAGAGAAATTTGTCGTGTAGTTGAGCCACTGTAGAGATTGGACCGGTGAGACCAGGAGTTTACCTGAGATATATACTCTAGGTAGATCAACCTGCTACAAAGATTTCTGTCTGCTAGCTTCTAAAGGAAACTCATTTAAACCGCTTTCTCAGCCAGTCAGAGGGGAAATGAATTTCACAAATAGCAAGAGAAACTAGAGCAGGACAAAAAACCCCTCAAACCCATGAACAAGCAGCTGTGCTTGTTACTAAAACCCTGTTGTAATCGATGTTATTAATCTGTTAACAACCTAGGAGCACCCAAAGGACTTTATCCAGCCACATAAAAAAATAATGAAAGAAGATCAGGCTTACTGCATAATAAAAATGTTGCAATTAGGTAGCATTTTTCATATCTAAAGCAGATATGTAGTACTCTGTGTTCTAGGTAGACCAATGATGATCAGAGAAAAACAAAATGCTAACCAGGATAGGAACCAAATCCTTTGTTCCCCCTCATTCTCAAATCACTAAACTAAATTTCTCAGTTGTATTTAGTTAAACGGTGTTGGAATGTTAGTGCAAAAGATTTATAGGAATGGCTGTTAGAAGAGGTTGTTCTCAAAATCATGATTTTTCTTAAAAATTCAATTTCTGTGAAATTTCAAACGTTTTCTGAGACCATGACAATCTTGGGAAAAGGAAGAGTAGGCAAAAAAAAAACAAAAAAAAAAACCACTTTTCTTGCTAAAATCCTTCAGATCAGCAAGAAGTTTCATTTTTGTTTTGACTTTTCAATGCTATGTTTTATAAAGAATATATATGAATATACATCATATTGCATTCCAATAGTTCCAAATTAAAATTAAAAAGTCAGAGTCCTTGTTTCAGGGCTACTTAAAAATTCAAATTCAAAATTCAAAACTTTCGTACTGAAGTAAGAAGACTTTTGCCAAAAAATGCTGAATTTTTCTGCAGAATGCAAACTCTGGTTTCTGAACGGCTGATGCTTATTCAGCTATATTATCAGCTGGTTTGAATGGAGTGCCTGAAAAATGATGTAGAGTCCAGCTGATCAAATGTCATTTTTCTTCTTCTACTGCCAGCAGAAACAGCAAAATTCCTGGTTCTAGCAGGCTGAGAGAGCAGCACTGATGCTTGAGTTCCCTCTGCTTTATCACCAGGTCAATGTTCCTTGCAGGTTCTCCTTGCTGAAGGCACCATCTTCCAAGGGATGGAAGGCAGCTAGAAGACTAAGCAAATAGCCCAAAGCTCATCAGTCCTCTGGGTCTAAGTCCTTACAGCTCCTTACATGGCATCTATTTAAAGACCAAGCTTCACCAAAGCTGTCACAGAGCGCGGGCTGTTCTTGAAGTTGCGTTCTTACTTTCCAAAATCCCTGTTTGAAGGGCTGTGGTACAGTTGAAGAGACACTGAAATAATTCCCAGAGTGCTTACCTTTTGCCCAAAGTGTCCAATTAAGAAGCTATTAGCTACAGAAGTGTTTCCCAGGCTTTCTACGATGTCAATGCCGAAGTCTTTGCAAGCATAAATCCGGAAACTTTGGAGTTCAAGGTTGCTGCTGCTAAAAATCTATTTAAAAGCATAATAAAGGAAGAAAAAGGTCTGTGGTTTATGGCCGGGCTTTCCTCACTATGCAATAAAAAGGGTAGAGCGTTAAAAATACACAAAAGTGTTGAATGTGTACATATTATTTGAAAATCTCCCCCTAATTCCTTATTTCTGCTTTCAATTAATCATATAAACCCTTTTACATTCTGATAACTTATTTTTACTTTGAAAGAAAAAAATAGTATGAAAAAAGAGAACTGGCGATCAGTAACAGTCAGGATCAAAAATCTTCTAAATATTGTGAGTTTTATTTTTGGAAAGAACAGTAAAGTACAAGAAGTAAAAGTTTATGGAAGAAAGATGCTTTGAACATAATCAGGAATACTATTTACAGTCACCTAAATGCAAGAATACTCTTCCTAGTGGTAGCCCATTGAGAGAAAGCTGAATAAACTTGGTTACTAACATATGTTGGGCCAGAAACACATAATAAAATTACAAGTCAGGCGGAGAAAAGTCAACAAAAATACCAAATGTCCTTTAGTTTAATTTCTTTTCATACAAATAAGCTTTTCCAGAAGGAGAACATGCCATCTAACTTTCTGAAAAATTGGATACCTTCAAAGGAAGAGCCATCAGAAGGGTCAGAGACTAAAAAATACATTTTACAGAGAAGCACACACAATCTTTTTAGCTCATCAGCTAGAGGGGTAAGAGGAGACTTGATTGCATCCTGTAAGTATGTATATGGGAAGAGATTATCAGTTAATAAAGGCCTTTTTAGCAGTTAGAGGCAGAGTGAGCTACAATAAGCTGGAAAGTGAAGCTAGCCAAATTCAAATTTAAAATGGCACATTTTTAACAAGGGGAAAAATTCCCATGGAAACTATTAACCCAGTGAAAATAAGTTCTCCACCAGCTGGAATCTTTACAAACAGCTCAGATCCACTGGGAGGACTTCTTTGTCTGTATTATATTGGTAGCCATACACTAGACGATTGCAGAGGTCATTTCAGTTATTTATGAAAGCAAGACTGATTCTGCACGGAAGCACTAAGGTAAGCTCGCATGAACAAATGTTTTTCTACCTTTATCAGTAAAGCAGGAACCTCCAGCTGAGGGTCATGGACATACTGGTACAGGAGTTTTTATAGTAACTGTGGCATCTCTGCTGCCTCAAAAGATGGAGACAGTATAGAGACGATATGCTCTTAAAGATCAAATGGTATTTCCTGAGCACCATAAGGAACAGTGAGAACAAACATACCTGAGCTCCACCTTGATTGCTCCATGCTGTGAAGCCATGGAACTGCACGGGGCTGTCCGGGCTCACTGGCAAATATTTTGGGTAAACTAGCAAACCGCACCTGTTCAGGGGAGAAAGCAAAGAAGGCTGTTTCATAGCAGTGCACGTATTTGCGGCTAAATTTTCCTGCTCATCCTTTCGCTCTCTAAAGTCTTAAATCTGCAACAGCTCCCTGCATGATACTTTACTGTTTACTCAAAAATTAAAGGCTTGGGGATAGAAGTGTTTATTTTAGGCATCTAATAATACCTAAGAGCTCTTTTAAAAAAAAAACCTTCTCAAGCATTTTCAGAATTAGTCATGCCAGGGCTAACACCCACCATGTGGTGCCACAGACAAGTACTTGCTGCAAAACATACCCAGCACCTCCATGACCCTTTAACCAACGTTGGCTTTAGCTAAACGGTAGGTGAGTCTGGATGGGTGAGTCTGTTCTAGTTCTCGGATTCACCCAGTTTGTACTCCAGATGTACATGTTCCTGGATGCAGTATTTGGTCTGACCTTCTCAGAGATTTTAAATCCAGATGGTAATCCAGATTTTCTCATAATTCTAGTGACTTCATCCACTGACTTTTAAAATAGTGTTACTTTTTGCTGTGATCCTGTTTTAGGGAAGCATTCGCAAAAGCTCTAGTGAATAGCTACTCTTGGATACTACAAGAACAACAGTTATATGAAATATCTGATACGCATATAGCGCCCTTTATCCTGTTAGTCTGCAAAGTGCTATCAACTGAACTCTAAAATTTGAGCAATGGTGCTGCTATTATAGAAGCATCAGGAGATAAGAAATGCTATTCCAGGTCTTCGTATCATGTTTCTAATGGTAATCTGTAATAGATGCTAACAGAGGGGCCTAAGAAAGAAATCTTGCATATGTTCTCTTGCTTGCTACCCTCTTCTGCTCAGAACTCCTAGTATACCTAAGAATGAGCTCTAAATTCAACACAAGAGCACATGCTTAAGTGCTTAGGTGTTAAAGAGTTAACAAGAAAATGTGCTAATGTTGCACCTTAACCTATATCAAGATCATTTTACCCTATAATTAAATAAGGGGATAAACTATGGCTGCTGTTAACAGCACAAGGCAATGATGCAAGGTAACAAACTGGGCTTGTGAATGAAGAAAAATGGGCTGAATCAAAACCACTAAGAAAATGATTTACAAGTAAGCCATGAAAAACAGTCCCAAGCACATCACTGTCAAACACTGATTCTGTTACAGAATCACAGAATCACAGGATGGTTGAGGTTGGAAGGGACCTCTGGAGATCATCTAGTCCAACCTCCCTGCTCAAGCAGGGACCTCTAGAGCATATAATGAAAGCATATATAATTCTGCTTAACAAGAGGGAAAGCATCTAAAAGAGAGCAAAAGTGGTGGTGGTAGGGGGGGGCGGGGAGGGGGAGACCGAGAGGGAGGGAGAGGGTCCAGACGAGAGGGAGGGAGAGGGCGGGAGAGGCTGGAGGGGGGGGGGGGGGGGAGGGGAAGACAGAGAGAGAGAGAGAGGAAGGGCAAAGCCTTTTCCACTGCCATTATATCTGTCATTGCCATGACGGAAGGGAAATCTCTTTAACCAAAAATCCCCAAGTACCTTGTGCAGGAATGGGCTAAGTTCCCACTGAAGGAGAGAAGAGGTATCTGGGATGGTCCCTCAGGCAAGAGATGAAACAGATACCCATACCCAGCAGCACACACCGTGTTACCCTGCAGAGAAACATTATGCAATTGTTAGAAAAAATACCCTAGATTTCTGGAAATTAAACAAATTTAGGAAGAAAACGTACACAATAAAACCCTGGCTGTGGACCCTAGTCCATGGCTGGATGGCAACAGCTGATTCCTTTTTTTCTGTGTCCAAAATGACACCCTGTTCTCACCTTGTCCTTGGGCCACTCTCATAAAACCTCACTCTTAAGCCAGGCAATAAGGGTTGGCCAAACAATAGAAACATGTTACAGCAGAAAGGGATTTCTATAACACAAGAAGCAAGTAAGAAAAAAAAGAGAAAGTGGAAAATTTCTTGCCCACTGTAAAATCTTTTCTAACTAGGAAAGTGATGCCATGAAAGAGAGGGAAATCATAACCACTCAGTTTATTGATCTATTTTTCAATCTGAAAATTTAATTTGAATTTCAATCTAAAAATTTCAATCTTTTTCTATGTCTCCCTAAATAAATATAGCAAAACGGAAAGAACATCAGCACCAAAAATATGAGACCCCTAAAAGTTAAGATAAAGTAGACAGTCACATCTTCCGGATATGTCAGCAGCTAGAAGTGAAAATGAAATTCATTCAGATCTGTGATAAGTTACTGGTTTTGTGTTATTTTAACAGGACAAGTGATTAATTATGGGAAGATGTGCTCTAGGTTACCATCGCTTAATATCTCATGATGCAGAAATTACTGAGTTGAACTTTTTGTATTCTTTGTATTTCTACGTATTTGCAAGCTGTGAAACAGAATCGCTCGTAAGTTCTGCCTGGCCTTGAAATTAGGAGTTTAATGCTTACAGAGTCAGTAGCAAGCGAGTTGTGCAGGGGGATAAACAGCGGTAAAGGAGCTTTTCTACTCTAGAGCGAAAAATAGCTCTTACATGCACCGTTTGGACAGTGGCCAATTGTTTTTGGATGATGTCCATCACAGGGATGCTTTCATGAACACGTCTTGGCATGATCCCTCTTGCCTATCTTAGAAGCTTAAAAATTTGATGCTAAAGTCCAGGCTGGTAAACCTAGGCTTCCTTTGCAGGACAAGGTAAGGTATAGGTATATCCAGAGGGCAGATCCACCCTTAGATAAGATGGATTGCTCTCTGGAGATACTCAGTTCTCTAAGGAAAGCCTAAGATGAGCTTTCTTGCAACTGTAAGGAGAGCTTGTTCGCCAAGATCAGGACTGACACCCACCAACTACCATTTCATAGGTCACCGGACAGTGTTAAAACAGTAATGGCTTTTTGGTCCCTGATGACCCAAATCAAAGTGAAACTTTGTGACCTGGAGGTGAAAGCCTCCATATTCCAATTATTTTCTCCTGATCCATCCAAGCGAGTTCCCTGCAGTCATGATCTCTGACATCTGTCAAGCAACAAAGAGATATCAATAACCAAAGCACAGCTCGCTCTATCCCCTGGTAAAGCTGCTGCCTTTTTTTCAAAAGTGCAGCCACAGAGCCTTTTCCTTTAACAAAATACTTCTGTAGTCCAGTCACATTATTTCCAAGATCTTGTACTTGGTACTCCAATTGTGCATTCTACAGATGATTCATAAGGAAAAACTGCATATTTATTCAGCCAGCTAGTGCCTGGAGGGCAGGGGTTTTAGGCAAGCAGGGAATTTTGTGTGGAAATCAATTCTTTGTGGAAGTCAGTACATTACGAATGTCCGTGCAACCAAAGTTCCAGAGAGAAATTACCTCCCTGAGCATGCCAAATACCTGGAGGTATGCATTGCAAGTCAGTATAATAAAGTGGCTGACGTTTTAAGTGTCTCTTAACTGTACAACAGGGCTAATGTAAATATTTCATGAATTCCTTTAGATGACCAAGGCTCAAAGTGCTGACCCTTAAGATGACATTAAAGCTCTCTTTCTCCCCACCGTGCAGAGCGTACCCTAGTTTCAGAACCTACAAGGATGCAAGGAATTTCCCCAGTGGGCCAAACTTAACGTGCACTCACTTTGAAAAAGATTGTAGAAAAGATCGTGATGGGAATTAAATGGTGAGAAAAAAATGGATGCTAAACAGATGCATCCTCCCCTCGTCAGTGCTGTGGGGAGTGGATGGGCTAAGTGACACTGGGAAAGCAAAAAGGATTCACTTACCAACAGCATAACCATCAGTTACTCCTCTGACATGGAAACATGGGTCAGTCTCCACCTTGTTCACTCTATTTAGCTGTTCCCCAGTCCTCAGACCCACAGCAGGATGGTGAGGCTGCCAGCTGGATTTCATAAGCCCAGTTCATATGTCATTATGAATGATGAGTGTTGCATGCTGGCACCGGGATTTAAGGGCATTGGATCTTTTTGAATAAGAATTTATTGCAAAAAGTCCATTGCCCTTGGGGTTCAAGAGAACCAAGAGGAGAAGATGGAAAACTATGGCTTTTTTTGCCGGAAGATAAAAGTAGAAGCAGAGACCCAGGGCATGCTCTTCAGTGACAAAACCGCCAGTGTCAAAGAGTGACATCTTCAATTCCTCATGCTGATTGTTCCCATTTGAAAGGGAAGAAACCATATTTCTGATGAAATTGTCTTATGACACCAAGTGACAGAAGTGACAACCAGGGTTAGAGATCTTTTGTCCAAACTTGACATCCATAAATCCATGGGCCCCGATGGGCTACATCCACAAGTGCTGAGGGAGCTGGCGGATGTTATTGCTAGGCCACTCTCCATCATCTTGGAAAGGTCCTGGAGATCAGGAGAGGTGCCTGAGGACTGGAAGAAAGCCAGTGTCACGCCAGTCTTCCAAAAGGGCAAGAAGGAGGAGCCAGGGAACTACAGGCCTGTCAGCCTCACTTCCATCCCTGGAAAGGTGATGGAACAGCTCCTCCTGGAGGTCATCACTAAGCATCTGGAGGACAAGCAGGTGATCAGGAGTAGTCAGCATGGATACACCAAAGGGAAATCATGCTTGACCAATCTGATAGCCTTCTATGATGGAATGACTGGCTGGGGAGAGGAGGGGAGAGCAGTGGATGTTGTCTCCCTGGACTTCAGCAAGGCTTTTGACACTGTCTCCCATCACATCCTCATAGGTAAGCTCAGGAAGTGTGGGTTGGATGAGTGGACAGTGAGGTGGATTGAGAACTGGCTGGATGGCAGAGCTCAGAGGGCTGTGGTCAGTGGGGCAGAGTCTAGTTGGAGGCCTGTAGCTAGTGGTGTCCCCCAGGCGTCAGTCCTGGGTCCAGTCTTGTTCAATGTATTCATCAGTGACCTGGATGGAGGGAGAGAGTGCACCCTCAGCAAGGCTGCTGCTGATATTAAACTGGGGGGAGTGGCTGACACACCAGAAGACTGTGCTGCCATTCAGAGCAGAGTATTCAGACCTGGACAGGCTGGAGAGCTGGGTGAAGAGGAACCTCCTGAAGTTCAACAAAGGCAAGTGCAAGGTCCTGCACCTAGGCAGGAATAACCCCACGCAGCAGTACAGGCTAGGGGTTGACCTGCTGGAAAGTAGCTCTGCAGAGAAGGACCTGGGAGTCCTGGTGGACAAGTTAAGCATGAGCCAGCAGTGTGCCCTTGTGGCCAAGAAGGCCCATGGTCTCCTGGGGTGCATTAGGCAGAGCGTTGCCAGCAGGTCGAGGGAGGTGATCCTGCCCCTCTACTCAGCCCTGGGGAGGCCTCACCTATGTCCAGTTCTGGGCTGCGCAGTACAAGAGAGACATGGCACTACTGGAGAGAGTCCAGCGGAGAGCTACAAAGACTATCAGGGGACTGGAGCATCTCTCCTATGAAGAAAGACTGCAAGAGCTGGGCCTGTCCAGCCTGGAGAAGAGAAGACTGAGAGGTGATCTCATCAATGTGTACAAGTATCCGAAGGGGGAGTGTCAAGAGGATGGGGCCAGCCTCTTCTCCGTGGTGCCCAGCAACAGGACAAGAGGCAATGGGCACAAACTGAACCACAGGAAGCTCCACCTGAACCTGAGAAAAAACTTCTTCACTGTGAGGGTGACAGAGCATTGGAACAGGTTGCCCAGAGAGGTGGTGGAGTCTCCTTCGCTGGAGATATTCAAAACCCGTCTGGATGTGATCCTGGATGTCACCTATGCTCTAGGTGACCCTGCTTGAGCAGGGAGGTTGGACTAGATGATCTCCAGAGGTCCCTTCCAACCTGTTGCTTCACCATTCTGTGATTCTGTGATTCTCTTACAGCCAACTCTCCTGCTGCTGCAGTGCCTCAGGTAGCCCACTGTGAGAGGCTGCTGACAATGAGGTTTATTAGCAACCCTTCAAGGACCATCTGCTACTCTGCCTTGAGTAACGCATCTTTGGAGAGCAGACTTAACCCCAATGTTCAGGTACATTGCCACAGATGCAGCTTTGGGCATATCTACGATGACACATGAACTGTGAGAGCTAAACAAATGTGCTGAAAATCAACCGCAGTCAGTTCACACGTACCCACACAAATAATTGCAACAACCCTTTTAAAAAGCCGAGCCATGGGCAATTTACTAGACAGCTCCAGGGTAAGTCAGTGTATGACACTGCAAAACTTTGTGTTCAGTGGAGCTGAAATTCATGTGACTCTGCCTAGTTGTTGTATTTCTTAGCCATATTTGATGGTCTTAAAAATGATAAATAGGCCCTTCGGGGAATTACAGAAAAGTCCTCTCCTTCTTCCTAAGCATTGCTGTCTTCAGAATAACATAGGAAATGTGTAGGTCTCTTTTTCACCTTCAAATTCAGGTGCAATTCTTTCCTCATGGAATAGAAAAGCCCAGGGGGTGATTAGATCTTCACATACACTTAGTAATTCGTTTGGTTTCTGTGCGTTAGCAATAGAACATGTTAGGTTTTTTTTTTATTATTTTGTTGATGAAAATGTGTATTTGTCACAACTGAAAGTGTAGTAAGAAAGGTCAGTTTCAATGAATTTCTGGACTTGAAAAAGTTAGGAAGGAAATATGGTTTGAAATAGCTGAAAATGATATTTTTTCCAATAAAACATTTAAAAGTGACTCTTTATTCTGAAATGTAAGTGACTTGACTAAAAGAAGAGAGAAAATATATGAACTGAAAGAAAGCATCACAGAATTAGTGAATGAAAAGATTTTTCACTGAGCTTAACTTTTTGATGGGAGGGTTGTTACTTTGCAAGCTTTTTAAGATTTCGATATTTTATCACTGTTTAGAATAGAGAAGCTTGCTTTCTTTGAAAAATCAAAGATGTTTTCATTGGACAGGGAAAGAATTATTCTTTTTCTGACCTGGAATGCAAATCTTGGACTGTGCATAACTCGTCATTTCAAATTCAGACAGAGGTGCATTTGATATTGCGAATCTTCCCGTGTTTATCATCTTCCAACTGTTTATCATCAGTTGTCATTTCAAATTCAGAGAGAGATGCATTTGATATTGCCGAATCTTCCTGTATTTATCATCAGGCCATTAGAAATTGTGATTTTTTTTTAAATATTATAATGATAGAAGAAGAAAATAATCTAGAAAAGTCAAAAATAAACCTTTTTCCAAATTTTTGTAAGAGTCCATGAGTATTAAAAAAAAAAAAAAAAACACTTTTAAAAAGTGTCCCAGGATCAAGGATCTCACAGCAAATATTTCACGTCACTCCAGTAAAGTACAATTTCCAGTAACAATGAATTTGCCTATAAATATTATTTATTTTGTAACGCGTGATTGTTTTAATATGCCATCAAAAACAGTTTTTGATAGCTCAGCCAAGAAGCAAATGTTGTGCATATAAACTCCAAGGGAAATGAAGGTCCATATCTTTCTGATGTCTTTCATTAGAAAGGATATCTTACGTTTACACCTGAACTGCTTACCTCTATGTGGTTGGCAGGAGCCCTGATGTAGATCCCTGCTGGCGACAGTGTTTCACTGTTGGATAAACCCTCTGTTCCAGAAAGGCCAATCACTATATTGTTACTGACTCTGTTTCCCTTTTCCAGCCCCTCTCCTTAAAAAAATAAACAAACAAACAAGAAGTTGGAAACTTTCTATTATGCAAACTGCCCAACTTGCCAGGTTTTACCCTGCTCACTGTGCCGGCTTGTTCCACCAGAGAAGCAAGTTTGCTTCACTGTCCTTACATATGTCATTGTTTGAAAAAGGCTCAGGAACCTGTGTTTAACACAAGGCAGAAGACCACTGTGGCATGGTCAAAGACTACCATAGCTGAATGTAGTGATGAGTAACATGGAAAGAGAGATACTATTACGCTCCAGAAATGTCAGAAGGCTACTAGCAAGATCTGAACAATATTGAAAAAATAAGGCAAAAAAAAAAAAACAGTCTCTGCCATAAGGAATTTGCAATCTAAGTAGAATTAAATAAATGAGTAGAATTAAATAAAACAGTCAGGAAAATGAATGCTATTATATATATTCTACAAAGGGGCAATAGACACCATGATTCTGCAATTCAACATGCACAAGGCTCTTATGGTCTTACATATAAATATAGCAGCAGACACACTGTACTCCAGGTTTATGGAGAAAATGAATAAAGGAGATGATTTGTAGAAAGCACATTTTACAGCTGGAAAAAAAGAGATTCAGTGTAAGGAAGTGGCTTACCTATGGACACATAGGCATGCTTCTGGCAATGCTAGGGTTCAACATCTTACCCTGGTGTCTCCATCTACTGCCCCACTCATATGTAAAAGAGGTCCAAACAGACTTTAAAACACCTGGTGAAACTCGGCACCAAGGTGTTTCCCCCACACACCCTGAGCAATGAAGCACGAGAAGAAAAAGGAAAACATCCTCTGACCTAGTGATCACAATACAGTCACTGGGTCGCCCAGATCTAGTCATAGTAGTAAATTAGAAAATGAAAAAAGATCATTTGAAGCTCTACCCTAAAGAAAGGTGCCACCCAAGAGCAAGAACTGGCCAGTCCTTCAGACAAGACAAGCCCTGACAAGGGACAGGCCGTAGTGTAGGCCCCCGCTCTGGCATTCTGCGTGCAGTTCACAAAGCAGGTCATCTCTCTTTGGCCCACACCCGTTGCAAACAAAATCTATTTAATTGTTCTTATTAAACATAAATGATTACCTTCAACTATAGCGGTTCCAGTTCTATCCCAGATATAGATCCCTTTCCCAGTCATGACTACCCCAAATATAAGTCAAGTGGAAACAGGCTTGTGAAAATGTGCATATTTTGGGTTTGGGAAGAGTAGTAACTATTTTTAGCCTTCCCGGCAATCTTTTCAGGTTTTCTCCATTTTTGGAACAAAATCCATTTAGGAAATATTTCCTTTCCAGACTGTATTTACCACAAACAATGCAACTATCAGAGCATAAGTAGGGTCCTACAGCAGTCTTTTCGATTGTCATATAGGTTTGAGAGGAGGCATAAAAAGTCTTGGCTTCCAAGCTGAGACCTTGTGTGTCAATTAATTTTGAGCCCAGAGCGACTTTTTATGACTGTCTTGCAAAACCCCTGAAAATAAGGGTTTTAGATGAAATCACTAAGGGAGTCCAACTCTGGAGCCACAAACAGCCAGCTATAATAAATATGCCTTCACAGGTAACAAAATGATATATAAAATCATCTATCAGACCCTCTGGAGCTGCTGACAGTGAAGCCATTAAAAAGATCTTGAGGACAAGGTGTATGCAGGCTGAAATCTCAGAGGAAACATTTAGCTCAGCCCAGAATCCTTTAAGTCAGACACATGTCCTAGCATGAGTGAGCAAAGGAATCCTGGGAGGATGGAGATCTTGTTCTGCTTCCTCACTGGCACAGGGGCCCCGTGCGTCACCTTGGGCAAGAGGTTGTATCTCTCTGGACCATCTCTCTTCATCTGCAAGATGTGTACAGTCACTCCCCTTTTATAGGTCCCCTCTGTTTAAATTTTAATCTATCACATGTTACTATGCTTCTATACAGGACCCAGTATAGGCCCTCTCTGTGTGTGTCGAACTGCAGGATCAGCGCTGAAGGCTTTTTTTTTTTCCTTAATTTTAAAATTGGTCATTTTCATCCCATCTCTGATGGAGAACAAAAATCGAGCAATATCTTTAGGTATTCACAGAATCACAGAATCGTTTAGGTTGGAAGGGACCTCTGGAGATCATCTAGTCCAACCTCCCTGCTCAAGCAGGGTCACCTAGAGCATATTGCCCAGGATCACATCCAGATGGGTTTTGAATATCTCCAGTGAAGGAGACTCCACCACCTCTCTGGGCAACCTGCTCCAATGCTCTGTCACCCTCACAGGAAAGAAATTTTTTCTCAGGTTCAGATGGAACTTCCTGTGGTTCAGTTTCAGGCAATGCGAGATCCCAGCAGAAGATGCTGCAAGTCAGTCTCCTGATGTTTAGTTAGAAGAAATATTTTGGTTTTTTAACACTTTATTGCTCCAAGCTCCAATTTACTTAAGTGCTAAATCCTCTGCTTAACTTTTAACATATGCTTTTGCTCCATTATCTTCAATGTCAAATGACTGAAGTTAAAGGTAAGTATGTTCTTAAATGCCTCATTGAACCGGATACTTAAATACTACTTACTGGTGCTCTTCTAAAGACAGGTAAATCAATTCCTTAAAAAAACCCAACCAAACAAAAAACCCACTCCTTTTAGCTGTAAGCTGTGAAAAAAAAGGAAACTAAATCAAGTGAAAACTGCCCAGAAGAAACAAACAGTGTAAGGGTAAATGGAGTTAGCTGCTAGGTGTTGCATGAGGAAGCCAAGGAGCTTTATTGTAGATTCACTAATACCAAAAAACGTGGAAGATGTGATTTAAGCCATCAGGGTACACCTACCATTCTTTCTTCCAGACACATTTGCATGCAAACAGCAATCAGTATATTTTATTGTACATGGTAGACAAATATTTTCCTGCCTCACTTACCCAGTAGAAGCCCATGGCCTGAAATGTTACAGAAAACATTACTGTCCACTGTAAGGTTTGAGATCCCAGTCAGACGGAGTCCTTGACTGAAGGAGTCCAAAATAGAGCAGCCACGTACGTAAGAGTCTGCAAAGCAGTGAGTAGTATGAGCAAAAAGCAAACTGCATCTTGAAGTATGGGACTATTTCACATTAGCTCCTCACCCTCTGATGCTGTGTAGTTAGTCTATTTTGCTCCTACGAGACTGCTTGGTTCCAGCTGCCCATTCCTATTCGTCTTTGAAGACCTTTGCCAATGGATGGGCATTGGCAAAAGGGAAGGTATAGGTGTGGGTTAGCCAGAGGAAAAAGTCCCGTCCGGTATCCATAAAACATTGCTCTAGCCCATCTAACCTTCCCCAATCACCACCACTCCTCAGAGTCCTCATTGCCACTTCCACAGAGATGATTTTTGCATTTACCAGTGACAAAGTCAGAACAAGTTAATGTATTCCTTCACTTTCAGATGACAGAATTAAATTTTGGCATATGCTGCCGAATAGCCCTGAGCCTTGAGCCCAGCTCTGGGCCCTCTCACAATATTTTAGTACTTCATTTCCGGAGCTAGAAGTAACAAACTAACTCAAGAGGTGTGGCATAAAAATGAAAAATTATTTTAGAAAGAAGCTGGCCAGAGATATAAAGGGACTAAAGAAAGTTAAAGCACTTTTTCAAAGTTTCACTTGGGTTCAGACTCCAGTGAGGATTTCTTATTCTTACCAACCCAATTTTTCAATGGTGCCCTGAACTTGGAGCTGAGCAGGCTGCCAAGAAGGTCGGCTCCAGCTTTGGGTAGGAGAAGGTGGACACGTGAGATCATTTGGGCCCAGCGCAGCGCTCTCACCGGCCATCTGCATGTTGCCAGCAATGGTCAGGGCGCTGCAGTGCTGCTGAAACGCTTGGCCCACATGCCGGAATTGGACTCCCTCCACCCAGAGGTGATTCTCCTCTCCCTGGAAGGCCTCCACAACCACGACAGCCCCCAGATCTCGAGACCCCAGCTTCCTCTCGCTTCTCTGGTACAGACACCCGGAGCCTCCTGGAATACAACCCGGAGAGAGCTGTCAGTATTACTTGTCCAGAAAGACCATGGTACATGCAAAGACCCCCCAGACCATGTCACAAGAGCTGCCACACTGAGCCAGTTCCTCTCATCCAGTACTCCAGTTTCCAGCAACGATCATAAACACATGCCTAAACGCAGATAGCCACAGGCAAGCATATTTGATACTCCCTCTAAGTACCCTCACAGTTTCTTCCCTAAGAGTCAGCTGGACTTTTTTAGAACAACATATATTAAAACCAGCAGGAAGCCACGGTAGTTTCATGCTTCGGAAAGTTTCTTGTGTTCAATTTTAAATAGACCAATGCATGGATAAGATGGATTTGACATTGATTTACCTTGGGTGAGGTTTTTGAAAAGGTGATTGGGCATGGATTTACTGAATGAAGCTAAAATGAGAGCATTTTGAAAATAACCTACAAACTCTAGCTTTTCCTACCGCCACTGCAGACGGATAAAAAATCATTACTACCCACAATCTGAAGACAGGGAGAGTGAACCATAGGGCTGTGGAAGGAATTGACGTTCCTGAAGAATGCCCTTCCATGGGTCCGTGATTAGGATATTTTGGCACAAGGAGAATCAGACTACAAATGTGCAGCTTTGGCCTGTTCTTTGGACATACAAAGAGAATTTCAAATTCTAACATTGGCTGTTAGTCTCAATAACATTCATTTTTCTTTTAAAGAAAGTAAATTAACAACAAAAATGCTACCCACTCATCTTCTGGTGATTTCTCTGAGAAATTCTCCTATACTATAATGCAAATAAAACCCTGAAATAGTTAGCTCATTTCAGAGACTATATTTATGACTTCCACACAAAATGGACTATAAATTCATGGGTAATATAAGCATCTGGCTGCTGGATATCAAATGAAGTCTCGGGTCACAGTCTTAAAGCCCAAGGCATCTTGTTTTTAAAGGAAACCATAATACCTGGGTAGCCAGAAAGCCTTACTCCCCTCAAATTATAGTCACTGCATCTGATTCCACTTCCTCATCAGCTGGCGTAAATCAGGAATCCCTCCACCAAACTTCGTAGCGGAGGGATAAAGGTAAAAGCAAAGGAGGACTGAGATGTCTGTTATTGTTTCACCAGTGTTACTGAATGCTACAAGAAGCCATCACCTGTGGGTTTTTTTTTTTTTTCAGTTGAGATTGCTGAACACTAAACAACATCTCAATATTTCACACTCAAGAGTACAAAAAGCATTCAGGCTGTTTTGTTTTTCTTTCTTCTTAAAGTGACTAAATAGTAAACACAATTAAAAATTTAATATAATATGTACAATGAAAACTGTTTTCAGAAGATACTTTCTTTTCCACACCCTTAGGCTCATGCAAAACTAAAGGGTCTGTCCCAAGATGGCTTGAAACAACCATGTGAAAATAATACATCTGAGATATTACGAGGAAATTCAGTTCAGCTCCTGAGACTTCATACTTCAATGTCAAACAATGTCTGGAAAGATAAATTCGCTTTCCTGGTGCTGTTACGTCTCAAAGTTATCCTATTAAGAAAAATTTCTAACATACGGTGATACCATAATGTGATTTTAATGAAGCAATAACGTCTGTATTCTTTTCCTTCTCGATATGTTTCTGTCAGAAAAGACCTCCTCACCTCCTGAAACACCTGCTTTTGCACACTGTCTGAGGTGGGACATTCTCGCCTTCGTGATGCTTCCTTGAACTACGACTCTTCTGCTGAGCAGTGCCACCACAGCACTCAAAGGCGGGCCTTGGCCATTCACCCAGTCCTCTCCAACGTTGTGTGAGTACCTAGGAAAGGACACCAAAAAAAAGGCAAAAAAGCATCTGTACCTGACAAAAGACAGGAATGCTCAGCTTAGATATGACCTTAGCCACCCGCATTCAGAGCTACTTCCAAAATGACCCATGATGTTGTGGGGAAGTTGCAGGGGGTTTGATCATCTCTGTTAGCTTCAAACTTCTGCGGTGGCTGGGGACGGGAAGAGACTGGGTGAGAAGTTTTCCAATTAGTTCAGCATGAGCAGTTCCAGCACAAAGCTTGAATTTATCTGTTTTCCCAGCGAGACTAAAATTCACATCTGGTTCTCAGAAGACCCCAGCAGGTTACACAAATCTTCTAACAAATGCAGACAAGTTCCAGGGTAACCTAGGGCATAATGTGCGCTTTCTGTCTTTGAGTTTTAGACTGCTGTGGCCTGGAGCCAGGCCTCTTCTTACCTTCTACAGTGGCATACCCAATATGTCTGTGTATGTGAGCTAGATAAATTTGTCCCTGGCTGCAGTTTGTTTTCATCTTTTTGCCTCAACAGTCCACAAAGCCTCTTATACGTATGTTTTTAACATATTTCAATATTTGAATTTTCTTCATCTTCCTACAACATATTTCAGTGAAAAAATGTCAATATTTTCTTCCTCAAGCAAAAAATATTTCTATCTGAAAATGACACTATTGTTGTTCATCAGCATTTTAGTTAGTTTACCTTCTCTCCAGACTTCCCAAATATTGCAACAATGGGACTCCTGGTTATGGTGATAAGAGGAATAGTTTGACACAATCTTAATGGACAGGAGATAATGAGAACATAAAGCAGGCAAACTGTTGTTCACTGGAAGCAGGGAAGTCATATCTGGACTAGATGATCCCCAGAGGTCCCTTCCATCCTCAACCATTCTGTGATATTTCCAAACTGAAGTAATTCACTTTGAGTATTTTGTTAATCAACCCCCAAAAATCAATCAAGAATGGAAGGAAAGATTTTTTACACAGATCAGACACTTTGTGAAAAAATTTCACTTTCACTTTGTGAAAAAAATGTGCTCAGTCAAGAAATAACCTCAAGAAATAACTCAAAAAAGACTCAAGAAATAACTCAAAAAAGACTCAAGAAATAACCATGCAGAAAAATTTTTAGTCAACCCTATGCTAAAGCCATTGGACTGTACCGGCCACTAGTGTTTTCTGCTTCAAAAATTTGCAAGTTCATGGTTAGGATATCGGATTTAAACATAGTCAGAGGTATTCAGGATTGAACATCCACTGATTTAGGGAAACCAGCATGAAGACACTAAATAACTCTGAGCATAAAGAAATTTATGTAGTCATTTCTTCCCACAGGGAATTGCAAATCCTAACCTTCACTCAAAGGTTCAACTGATTTAGCTCTCTGCTGTGGAAATCCCCTTGGCCCTGAAAGGGTACCTGAGCGGAAACGTAAGGTAGAGTTCAGTGTCGTTCACAGATTCAATAACAGCCCTTTCCTCTTGCCATGGTGAATCACCAAGGCCTGTCCCTCCCACGATGATTTCATCGCCAGGTTGCCAGTCAACAGGTTCCCGTAGCACTAATCGAGTGTCATTAACATGAGCTGATGATTCCAAGTGTGTGAAAGCTACTTTTGGCATCTCGCCTAAAAAATAATAACAATAAAATAAAAAAATTGCACATCAATCAACAAAAAAACCAGGAGCTACATGATTAGAAAACACTACTTCACTATCCCACACTCATTCATTTCTTGCTGATACTGGATAGGAGAGATGGAAATAATGCTACAAAAGAGGATCTGTGCTCATCTACCTGGACTAGAAATAAGTGCTTTCCATGTAACATCTTTATTTCATACCTCTTGTCTTCATTTGTCCCAAAGATCTCAAAAAAGACAGGCTGGAAAGAAGTTTGTCCAAAAGGCTGTGGAAGCTGAGCTTCAGTTTCAGTCCACCCAACGGACTTCTCCATGTGAGAAATTAAGCACTCTCCTCTCCTTAAGCACCCTCTGCAACCAGTGTAGAAGACCACACTCTGCAGGAACCATCATTCTCCAATGAGAGCAAAAGGCTTTTGTAATCATTGGAGTCCCCAGTCAAGTACCCAAAACAAGGTGGGATAAGTCTAGGCCTACCAGTATCTTGCATTCATAAAAATTTCCTTTTCTATCAATAATATTTCAATAATATTTCAATAATTGTAGGAAAGGACAGATATCACCAGTTTCAAAAATTTTCAAGATTGATCACAGATTGCTCAGCAAGGAAAAGGAGATCCTTTAAACACTGTCTTAAGTGGAAGACCCAAAAAGAGGGATCATTTCCTAAAATCTTGGCTTAAGTGGCCTACCTGGTCATGCGACACAACCAATGGGCTACAAAATCAAACAGAAGACTAAAATGGCCAGTGTGCAAGTGGTCTGATTTCAAATAATTGACCAGGAAAAAAAAAATCCTGAAATGAATACGAGTACAGTTCAGGACAAAAATGAATTTAGCGAGCAAATGAAACACTCTCATCAGTCTAGCACAAAGTTGTCAGATAGATACCAGATATCAGACGTGTTTGGTGCAGACTGGACATCTGATTGGGTCAGCCAGAGATTATGTGATGATGGAAAGAGGATTCTGCAGATGCCTAGAAGGGCATCTCAATTTGTTTCCAGAGCTGGGTACACAGGTCTCTGTAGACCTGCATGGAAGAAGCCTCTTCCATGGGTGAGGTTTCTCAAGGAGTCTCCCTCAGGTGCTGCTGAGTAGAGGAGAGCAAAATCTGGAGGTCTCGAGTAAGTGTATGATAATACTTAACAAAAAAATAGCTAAACTTCATTTCTTTTCAGATAAAAGGATTTCTTGTTGTTGAAAAGTGAATTTCAGCTATGAAGAATATTTTGTCACTCATAAAATCTTAAAAATTGTTCAACTCATTATTTTAAAAAATCATTTGTGAGGCAGTTAAAAAAAAAAAACTCGTGCAAATTTTTCATTTTTTCCTCATCAATATTCCTTCTAAAATTAATGCAAGGACAAATACCAAAAATCCAATATCATTTTTTTTGAAAAAGTAAATGTTTCATTTGAAAGGAGTTCAGTTCTGCCTTTTTCATCTAAAAGCTGAAATAGCATCATATATAGCTTTAAGTATTGTAACTTTGGGGATTTTTTGTAGAAAAATTGAATCTCAGCAAGCACTGTTGAAACACATTCTTGGGGAGACCTTAGTCTGGCTGCCTCGGAGAGAACTGAAAATGCATTTTCAACTTCTAAGTTCAGTTGAGGTGAAGGCCACGTTACATCCTTGAGGATGGGGACGGTTTACAGGTTCAGCAAGCAGTGGGAACGCATGGCTCGCCATGCACTGCTCTTCTTGAAATCCAGCTACCTTGAACTGTGAGGGAGTTGTACACACCATTAGTAACACTGCAGCATTGTCCCAGGGGTTGCATTCCATGAAAAAGTTCCTAGGGTGCTGTGCATTCTCAGCATCTCGATGCTTCCCATGAGCAGTGAACAGAAGAAGAGGTCATTCGAGGCTATCTGTGAACACGTCAGTCATGGAGAGTGGTGCCACCCAGGAGAACGGACAGGAAGGTTTTAAAGTGCCCAGAACTAAGTCATGACCTATTTTCCTCTTTTCCAGAAGAACAAGGTGAAGAGGAGCTGCTCTGTAGCATCTGTAGCCTTAGCCCACACTGGAAGGTAATACAAAGGCAACAGCCACAGTTCCCAAATCCCCTCCTCTTCAGTGGACACACTACCAAGTCTGCATGCAGTAAGCCCTCGCATTGAAAAATTTTGCCATTTCCCCCTCCCTTCTTTGCATAATGAAGTTTGCAAAGTTTTGAAGCTTCCTTTTCCCTAGCAGGCTTTGGAACGCATTGGTCCAGTGAGATCCGACACACTGAACCCCATCAGGGGAGAGCATGCGCCTTATACACCCTCCTTCAGTATATTTTTCCTTCACTCCTTTGCAATAGATCATAATTTACCCTTAGCCCACAGCTAGTTACTGTCCTCCCCGGCTGTACTACAGAAAAGTAATAATACCAGAAATCACTAAAGGTAGAGGCTGCATCCAATAAATCATTTTCAAATTATTTTAAGCAAGCTTCTCTCCCCATCTGCTGTTTCATTTTCTGGGTGCTTATAGTCCAGTGTCCCATTTCTTCCCTCCTTAACGCAGATATGAATAAGGAATAGCGCCTCCAAGTCAATGGATTCCCATAAGAATGAGAGAGCGAAGAATCAAATCTTTGTACCTTGTCATCTAAAAGCATTTTTTTTACTGGAATAATCCTTTATACTAACATCCCAAGAACATAGGAGGAATGGACTCTTAGGACCTTGGCCAACTTTTCTGGTACAACTTTGGTGATACAAAGGGAATGCAAGCTGCCAAAAAACAGAGTAACACATTTTGTCCTCTCTGCACAAAAGGCAGCTCTTCTCACTCTCCCTCTTCAACGACCTGCTCAAAACAAATCTCTTGATATCTCTCTATGCACATTCTTCTACTAGCAGCAATCTCGTTGTTGTTATTCATGTTGTTAACCCACTTCTACTGAGTTAACCTTGTGAATTTTTAGTACTCACATAAAAGCAAAAGACTGACAGCAGCCAACTGCATGTTGAACAGCCTACAAGTTTTTTCCAGCACCAGCCTTTAGCTAGTAGCTCTGTGTGTGTGTGTGTGTGTGTGCACCCACATCTTGAGTGGGAGACACACAACTGCCTCCTATTATGCATATGTCACATACATACTACAGCAACCATTATAAAAACACTGCTAGATAACAACTGTTGACTGTAAGAGGTGCAGATCACAGTTCTACATTCAAAATATGCTCAAATTGAAATAGCTTGGGATTTTTTTCCACTTCCAAGCTCAGAAATAAACATTGTTACGGAAAACCTTCCCAAGTTTTCTTCTTCTAAAGGAAGCTTATCCAAGATATTCAAACTTCTCTTTTTTTTCTTTTTTTTCTTTTTTGACTTTTTACTGTGCTCTTCCAGCTCTCTGACTCCCATTCCCTGTTTTTTTTCCTCTCATTTTTTCCTGGTGATTAAGTTGGGCTGTGGCATTTCTTTGTATGTGTAAGATCTCCTATTTCCACCTTCCAATACTTTACAATATATTTTTGTTAGAACAAACAAACAAACAAAAAGATTTAGTAGACTCCTCTTTCCTTGATTCTTTATTATACTTCCACACACAACCAAACCTACAGGTTAGATTCTCCTCTGCCTTAAGCAACATGGTGTCACTCAGTGATGCTGATAGGGCTTGGTCAGTGATATCTTTCTGACGAATTCATTCAGGAAAAGACCAGGGATCTCCAGAGAGAAAAGCAGGAAGCACCGCAACCTGAGCTGAAGAACTGAGACTTTCTTGCTGTAGCTGTAATATATTACTAGCCAATGTACTACTGGTAACCCTAAAAAACAAGTTTTCTTTTCAGAAAGCGGGTATAACCTTGCTATCTATTTCCCACATAACTCCAGCCATAGGAAAACATGCAGCCCCCATGTTCTCCAACTTCTGCATCCAACAAGCTTAAACAAAGATAGCTTGAAAAAGAGGACAACACCCAGCAAGCCCCTTAGTCACTGCCACCACTGCTGTCTGTAGTTGACTTGACTTAGGTCGGACGCTGTGAGTGGGTTTCGGGTGCCTAAACACATTGTTTTTAGATGTCTGATTGGCCTCTAGTTGTTCTTCCAGAAATACATGGGCCTGACACGTCCCGTGTCTTAACTGCCAGACATATATAGATACCTTGGATACCCTAGGGTGTCTGAAATTGCACTTTATAGTAACACTTACATAACTAAATCAGGCACTGATTGTGCTTGGTACCCATTGATTTTCTCACTTCTTAGCCAAAAGCTAGGCTAAGGGTGTCATCTTCTGGTCTCCAGGATTTTTAGCAATAGGTCTTCAACAACGTGCCAATGTGAACGCTTTGAATACATCAAGGAATTCAGGAATCTACCTAAGTCCAAATGGTAACTATGGGTCTATTTCAATCGGGACATCTAGTTCAACCCTGGTGTGAGCAGGACTGTCCCCATCTGCATCTGGTCCCCCATACTTTACACAGCTCCTTAAACTCACAGGGATCTTGAAAACACACAGTAGTCACTAGTCACTGCAGACAGCCAGACCAAATTGCTCTGCTTCTTGAAAATTCCTAGCCCCCTGCTCACCTTCCAGAGCTGGGCTGACTGGCTTGGGTTCACTACTTTTCAAAGGTATCCCTACAGCCAGATTTTAAATGCAGAAATGAGAAGTACTGATGCACATCACAGGAGCACGGAGACAACCCTCATTTCCCAAAGATCTTCTGCAGCTCCTCTCTTTCAAAGAACCAATGAGGCTCTCCTTAAAGATTATGAATGGCTAAAGCGGAGTTCCCGAGAGCTGATGAACACGCTTGTCTCTGCAGTCGGTCTGCAGGGCCACCCTGTAGGAGGTCAGAGCCCTCCTTCATGTTTCACTTTGAAAACAAACCCTACTTCAGATAAAACCTACAAGGTTCAGAAAATAACCTTCAGTGACTGGGGCTGGGCTGTGCAACAGGCAAATAAACGACTTGTTTGAGAGTAGAAGGTTTAAAAGACCAACAGCTGCAGTATATTTAAA